TTCCCTACCATTTATTTCTCATTCATCTGAGCTGCCTTCAGGAACGTCGGTTCCTTTTGCAGGGGATAAACGCGCTGTTAAAATGGAAGCAGGGAAAGAAATGGCACAGGGTGATATCGCCTCGGAAAAACAACCGCTTTTTGGGGCAGCAGGAGTTATCGAAATCATGTTTGCAATGCCAACGCTTCAGTAGGGGGTTAACTGCCAGCGATCAGATGGATAATTCCCTTCAAAATGATTGTTTTACCTCGCTCCATCCAATTACTCAAGTTGTTTTGCTACCCCACAGATCTCTCTGTTAATGTCAACAAAATGATTATAGACTGCAGCAGCGTCAAGATGTTTCACCCACAGGAGCACTGGTGAAATGTTTATGGTGCAACATGTTGAAAGCAGCGTTTGATGGGTAAATGTCAGGAGCAAGCAGCTTTCCCGTTGCCAGAACCAAGCCTCACGAAATACAGGTGCCGAAAATGTCACACGCACAACCAAAGAGCTACTTTATTGCAGGCCATGTAAATCATGGTGTAAATCATAGAACCATTTAGGTTGGAAGAGCCCTTTAAGATCATCAATCCCAACCGCTCCCCTACCCCTGCCATCCCACCCCCAAACCCTGGCCCTCAGCATCGCCTCTGCCCGGCTGTTAAATCCCCCCAGGGGTGGGGACTCGACCCCTTCCCTGGGCAGCCCCTTCCAGTGCCTGACAGCCCTTTAATGGCCAACATCGGTGTCAGTAATGGTGTGGAAAAGCCACCGCAGCTCTTTGCTAGTGTGGCCGTGCATCATTTCTGGTTTGTGAATCGCAGCCGGCAGCACGGTCCTGCCTTTGGCCTCGGTGACTGAGCTGATGGTGGGGAGATGGATGAAGGACATGCATGGGGACGGCAACACCAGGCACGGATCAAACCTCTCCACTTGAAGGGAAAACGACTCTGTTAAGGGTGAAGATGCACCGTGGGAGCCACCTGGGCTGTCTAGAGATGGGTCAAGGTGCTTCCTCGGCTGCGTGGCTCTGGGGGCCTCACCTAGACACCTCCATTCTTGGCAAAACCTGCAGAGTAAGGTTTTGTAACCATGCCTGGACCCCCCCCTCACATCACGGGTGCCAGGCGAGGAATCCCCGTGTCCCTGCACGGTGGCACCCAGCCCGTGCAGCAGAGGGGTGGGCACCACAGCAGGGGGGCTGGGGTCCCCCATCTCCGTCCCCCATCCGCGCTGGCACCCGGGGCGAGCCACGCTTTCTGCTGGGGGTTGGGCGGGTGAATAAATGTCGCTGTTTGTCCACCAAAGGGTTTGCGACTCCGGTCCCGCCGATACCGAAGGTGCCCAGATCCGCTGACGATGGTTTCTGTGAATCCCAGGGATTGACCCAAACTACATTTTGGCAAATGAACCTTTATGACGTCCTTGTTGCATCAGCACTCTTCACTTCTTGGTAATAAAAAATGCAAAGAAAACTCCGATGAAACAAGCCAGAGCTGAAGGCAGAAGGTATTGAAATCTGGAAGATTTAATTTAATATTTTTATTACATATTTTTGGAGCCCTGATTATACCCCCACCCTCCAGGAATTTATTTAAATTATACTACGGATGACACGACTGCAGGTTCATTTTCACTGCCGAGAATTCGGGTTTTTTTACAGCTCGTGTTACACTCGCATGACTTGCAAAGTTCTGGAACATCTCGAAATTTTTAATGCTACATTGCAGAAAGGTACTTAGATATAAATGAAGTAGGCAGAGCACTTGCTTCGCAGTCTTTCTGAGGGGGAAAATGTTAGTTTCTCAGTTTGAATAGGCCTGTAAGGGATTTCTTTGAGTTATTGGAGAGTGAGTTCGCAGGGTGCTCGCGGGAGCTGCCTCGCGTTTGTCCTTCAGGCTGGGGGCAAAGTGAGAAACCGCGAGAGATGCCTTTAAAATGTAACGTAAGGAGGAATGCTTTCTACAGGGGAATATAAAGAAATTACGCGGCCATCGTGACTACAGTGTGTGTGAAATGATCCTGGCAAGATCCCCGTGGTAAATGTTTGACAGACGGGACGACGTCTTAGAATCCTGGTTTTTCCAATAAATCATTGCACCCGGGCCCTTTAAATCGTAATTCGCGTCAGCCAGCTCTGCACACTGAGTTACGGTCAGGAGAGGTTTCCAGAGGTGTTATGGTGATTATCTAATGATTCTGTTAACAGAGCCATAGGATTGGAGGAGATTTTTGTCAACTCCGATGTCACAGCGACAGAGACCTTTGGCCGAAACAACAGCATGAATATTGGATAAGATCCCGCAGTGCTGCTTTTCCATGTTATGGTGCTATCCAAGGGTGAAGGTTATAAATACATGAGTTATACCATTTGCTTTCCAGCTGGTAAAAACAAAGGAAATAAACCCCATAATCAAGTTCCAATACACAACTAGATATAATATAGCTTTTTTTTTATATATATATATATATATATATCTGTATATATATCAAGTAAAAAAATCTAAAACAGTTGGAAGTAAAAAATGAAAAAATAGCTGATTGTGTTATTTTTTTCTTTACAGTGATATGGTAGCAAATACAAGACAAATGAGTAAGAAACCTTTATATAAGGTGTTCTGGTCCCATCTCCATCAGTAGGGCTCAGACTAGAATACAAAATGGAACAAGGTGATTTTTGATTTTTGGCTACAGCTTCTGCAAGGGACAAAGATGATGTTGATACAGACAGAAGGAAATTATAGCACTAAAGAAAACAAAACTCCAGAGTGTTTTCCGAAAGACCTTAAACACCACAGGGTAACATTTACTTCTGAACTGGGGGACCAAACACCAAGCATCACCAAGTCCCGCTCAGGCTGAAAATACTGCGTGCTTACCCCGGCCTCAAGACACAGCCCTTTTGTGCCATCTTACTACCAAAAAACCTGACCAATGCTCTTTTTTTCTTTCTCCCCCCGCCCCCGCCCCCCTGTAGCCAATAACAAAAAAGCAAAGCCACAAATCTCGTATGGACCAGGCCAGACGTGAGACCTCAGTTGCGCTTGGATGCTTGGCTGCCCTTTGTCCAGCAGTGAATTCCCCCAGAACCCTTTACAACAAAAATGTCAACGGACTATGCTATGCAAGTGGTGGCAATGAGCCCTATTTTGGCTGTAGAAAAGAAAGGAGGACTAATCTCAGCATAAAACAAGATCATATAGACGGTCAACACAAAACAGTCTTCTTTTCGGTTGTCTGCATAATAATAACATCATGTTTGCATATAGAACAGCTTTTGCATTATTGCTCTACTTACAAGAATATAGTAAGGAACTTAGAACAGACTTGCACGTTACAAACTTAAGGTTCTTTGGTGAAGAATGAGTATTTTTTCACTGCAATTCAATCTCAAGAAGTTTTCGGTTTTATCTGTTGATCCTTTGGATCCTCTCACAGAGGAGGGAAAGGTATTGAGTCAGCTTTACCATGGCGACGATGGCGACGCCGCCGATCATCATGCAGGTGGGCCAGAGGAGGGAGTGGAATAGCACGTTGGAGCTGTACAGTTTGGTTAGGATCACGTTCTTCTGAACGCCCTCGGGGTCGTAGAAGCAGGAGAAGCGTTGGTACTTTCTGAAGTTGTCCATCACAACGCTCACCAGTGACATGGATTCCTCAAAATTCTTGCCACACTTGGGTATGTATGAGCACTGGGGAGAAATCAGAGGGAGAAAAATGCATCTCCAAACCAGCTACAATGCCTGTTTTCAGGTGGCAAGCAGGAAAATCTCAAGATGATTATGCTTTTCCTTATCAGAGTGGAATACTATTAAGCTAATGATAAATTTATCGCAGACAAAACTCAATATTTTGCATATCTACAGAATTTCCCATTGGAGAACCTCCAAGTGCTGTACAAATATTAATGCTTTAATCTGCACAGCGGCCTCGTGAGATAGGTGAATATATTCTTATTGCTAATTTACACATGCAAAAATGGAACTGATGAAGTACCTCTTCATCTTAAGGGGCATGCCTGTGCTCGCAGTTCAGTGGGCAATTGACTCACTCTAAATACAGATCTGGTGGTTCAGATCTCACTGGGGTTGGATCAGAGTGATCGTAGTGGGCATGGGAGTTCACTCACAGAGGAGAAGGCTGAGGAGAGACCGTCATACAAATTTTCCCGTGGGGGTAATGCCTCGATTAGGGGCAAACAGATAGTCTAGGGGAAACCAGAGTTTTCCTACTGATGACCCAGAAGACTTTCATTCAACCTCTCATGGAAGATCAGCCTGGCTACCAGGGTGCCTCTTAGTCTTGTTTTTATTCATGACCCCAGCATAAGCCCAACAGTTCCTTCTCTCTGAAGCTGCTGCTTGAATTTCAGTCTTGGGGGTGGCTCTAACACGGTTTGAACCTAGCGTTCCCAAAGAATACTAAACCCAAGTTAATTAAAGAACTGGCTTATGGAGTCCATGCACTGACGATATCCCGTGGGACATAGGACGGTGGCCCTGGGCTGGGCTGACCGCTCCCTGCAAAGAGCTAGTGTGGGCTGGCGAGGCGGTGAGCGGGCAGACATTGAGGCCACGTCTGCATTTTCACCTAGACCAGAAACACCTGAATTTGCTGTTGCTGCTGCTGGTCTGGAAGAGGATTGATGGGAGCAGCCCAGGGCCTCTCCCTCCTCTTTTTTAGATGCTTACGCCCTTCCACGCCTGAAGGTTTTCTACCCCTGCACAGGGTTTTGATTCAATTCCCTACCCCAGACAGGGGGTAATCTGCTGCTCAACTTCTCACTGAACAGGCATGGGAGGACCCAGCAGGTCACTGCTCCCCGCAGTTACAGGGTGATGGTGGGTGCCCACCATGCTCCCTGCCTGCGCTGTTGAACCTGCTCATCCCGGGTGAGCGCCTGAAGTAGTTCCAGATAATCTATTGAGAGGAAGTGAGTTTTGCAAAGGAAAAAAGATTATTGATTGAAATAATGTGACCCATGGCTTTTGGTTATTATTGTTTTAATATATACACTTTATAGACGTTCTTTTTTCATGACTATGCTGCGACTTTCTGTAACGTACTGCGACAAACCTCTTTTCCTAATAACGATCAAAGGATTAACCTCATAACAGGGTTTGATTGATTCATTGGCAAGTTTATTAGCACAGAATATGGTCTGAAACGTGGCAGAAAGATTGTCTGGTGGTAGCAGACCGGAGCGTTCGGGGTAGAGCGTGGCACACTGCCATTATGAATATTTCATAGAGCTCTAGAAATTAGAGCCGGAACATAGCTGAGTAGTAATAGCTCATCCATCCTCCTGCTGGTGCAGGTCCGCTCCCTCCGGGATATTCTTTTGCACTCTGCCCAGCTCTGTCTAAAATGCCCAAATCCCTCTTCCAGAGCCTGTGACTCTTACTCGTAGGCCATAGACCATAGTCTAATAAGTAGGGGAACTATCTCGCTGAAGTGGACCTCATTTTCTTTTACTAAATTCCACGCTATCACTGTCATAACAGCAGTATTTCCAGCTCAGACTTTTTTTTTGTTGTGGTTTCTTTTTTTTTTTCTTGCAAGTTTGGTGCTGTACGTTTTTGTTTATTGAAGTCCCAGCTGTTACTATCCTGAGTGAGGGGATTAAATGAGGACTTGGCCACTCTTGCCAAAGTCCAGCCCTCCTCCCTTGACAGAAAACAGCAGGCACATCAAAGCCCAAATGATGCCAGATTCCTGGACTCAAAGTCTGTGGAAATGTCCCAAGACTGCAGCGGGGTGGGGGCATCTGATTCCTCACAAGCCCAAGTATTTTGCAAACATTTTCAAAGGAGACCTTATGCTGGAGCAGAACTTGAGAGGTTGCCTCCTACCCCAGATGGCACAGAGCCCTAGCCGTGTCGGGCTGCTTGGGCTGCCCATGACACGAGGGCCTGGGAGCATGAAGCCGTGAAATGCAGTCGTGCGAGGGAGGTTGGTTTGCTTTGCCTCTCAGCCAGGCTCCTTCTGCTGAAACCATCTGTCTCCAAGCTATGGTCTCCCATGCACCCTCCAGGACATGGGTGCCCTTACTCCATACCTGCCTTGTCCCGGTGCTCCTGAGCTCCTGGAGGCATCTTGGCCTCAGCTTTGAGGAGCTCCTCGGCGCAAAAAATTGCCGTGTGCATTAAGTTGTGGTTGTGGGGTGCTCCTGGCCTCCTTCTGCTCCTCGGCTTCCCCAGCGAGATCCCAGGGAAGCACAGGTCTAGCTCTACCCTCCTGCACAGGTCATTGGCATGCAAGTAGGCAGACACGGATAATGGGATATTTTGAGTGTTTGATCTTCATTTAGTTTTCTCCAGTGCCTGGCAGGGAATTTTATACTCAGAGTTGTTAGGCTGCACCTGTGAATGCAGACTGCTAAATCCACGCCGTTCTGGCACGCCTCTGCGGTGCCAAACGCTTGGAAATCTGCAGATCTGGGAGTAAACAATGTCTGGCTCTACTTCAAGCGAGGATTCTGTGATACAACGGGAGAGAAATGCAGTCTGATCACAAGGAGGACATACTGGACAGTTACAGAGAACGCTTTACATTTCCAGTTCAGCATTTCTAATTTAAAGGACTGGATGGGCAGCCTGGACGAGCCACCTCTGGACGGGTCCAGCCCAATGCCCTGCTCAGGGCAGAGCTGCTTGGGGACCTGTCCAGTCAAGTTATGAATATCTCCAAGGATGGCGATCATGCAGCGCCTCTGGAAATGCTGGGGGCAATTTCATTTAAGACCATGAAGCTGCACCAACAACCCTATGGCTGGAGAGGCCCCTGGTTGAGGCTGGGCAGTGAAATACACGGCTCTCATCATAGATCTGTGGGTGGGGGGTGTCTGTCCCTGCCATGCTGAGCTTGGAGACTGAAAACCTCGATAAGATGTTACTTTGTGGGTCAGGACGGCGACTTGCACCTCTTTTGGGAGGCGGAAGGGGTTTGACCCGAGGGCTGAAGGAGGAGCTTTGTGTCTGCATTGGCCCGATACTGATTCCTGCAGACTTGAGTTCTCCAGCCCCAGCCCAGAAATGGGCCTGCTGGGAACGGCAGCCGAGCATCGCTGCTCCCCCCGCCCCAGGCAAACTCCTCCCCGGGTTATAAATACCTGAACCTTCCGCGGGAAACCATGAGATCCCCCATCATTTCTTAGGGTCAGGCAGTTATAGCTGGCGTAGCAGCGGTTCTGGCGATTAAAGCCTGCTTGTTATCTCACTTACGGAGCAGGGGTGTAAATCAGGGGTAGCTCAGGTGACACGGGAAGAATCAAAGTGATAAGGGACGAAATCAAAACGGGGCCCCTAGAACTGCTTTGGCTACCGCAGCCCTTCCTCGGGGTGACAGCCGGGCTCCGTGGTCCGGGCGCGAGGGGACGCCGGCCGATTTACCTCCGCCAGGGGCTGTTCAGCCTCTGACCGCGGGGAGAGGGGCGTGTGGCTGTGACGGCTCTTAAGCGGCTATGGTTGTAGCATTGAGGAGGGGCTGGGCTGGGCTGAAAGGCTGGAGATAGAGTATGCACAGTGAGAGCAATGAAAAGCCATAAAAAACCCTCGTGTGCTTTCCTGGGAGAGGCTCGAGCAGCTCGGCTGGTATCCATTCACTTTCCACCGATTCCCACCAGAGACCGGCAGCAGCACGCTGTAGCTCTCGAGATAAATTGCACCTACCCCTGACCGCAGGCGGTGGGACAGCGGCTGCGTTAGCCAGCCAGCATCCTGGATTAACCATTAGCTAAAATCAAAGCGGGTTTTGCTCCCCCGGTGCGAGCCGGCAGGGAGAGGAGGGAGCCGGGCTCCCGCTGCCGCTCTGCATCACGGCGGTGCTTAGCCGGGCAGAGGGGCTGGGGGGGGGCTGGGGCCCTTTTGGAGGTCACCGGCGTTGGCCTCGCAGGGTAAGCACTGTGCTCTGCTTGGTTTGTTTTTGTTTATTTAGCAAGGAGAAAGATGGGATCCGCAGACCCCAGCAGGCGGATGGGGAGAGCCAGGTGGTGGCCGGCCGGAGCGCCGCAGACCCAGCGTGCCCAGGGCTGCTCGTCCTCCTGCACGGGGCTGCTCTCCGGGGAGCGGAGAGGGCTTGTGCCCACCCGAGCTTGGGGGCCCTGCCGGTCCCAGCCAGGCACCAGAAGCCAGGTATTTTATAGGCATTGCAAACTTCCCTTCAAAACTGCGTTTGGATTCAGGTCACATAGCCGGCAGCATGTCAGGAAAACCTAGGAATCCTCTCGAGAGCAGAGCTTAACCTGTAAAACAACCTTGGGCAGGAGAAGTATTAACTGTGCCGACATTAAATTAAGAGGAGGCGGCATCTGGGGGAATTTCAAAGTCCGTTTCAGCAAGCAAAAGTCATCAATAACGGGATGTGAAGATGTATACGCTGCATCTCTTGATTTTTTTGAATCCAGTGGAGCACAGAGACCGATCTGATCTGTTTTAATCAAATTGCGGCATGAGAGTCACCACATTTTGCTTCTGCCCCAGCCGAAAGCGGGGGCTGTCCCGCCGCAGGCGAGTGCCGCCTTTCTGCTCTGACACCAGACCGGCGGGGGAGATGGGGGCATCCGTCTCCATTTCCCACTCCAGATCCAGAGGATCTCAGCCACGGGAGCTAATTAGCCAGCAGAATAACCGGCCCGGTGCAACCACGCCATGCTTTGACCGATTTTAATACCTTTCTGTCTTAATATGCAGAAGTAATTTGGTCTACTGAACCGCCGCCGTAAATAGAAACACCATAGGTGACGGTGGCAGCAGCCTGCCGCGGGGCTCGGCTGGGCCGGGCGGCGCTTTGCCACGCACCCGTCTGAGGAGGATCAGGACAGCAAGGGATGGGAAGTTAACAGGATTCAAGCAGTTCTTGCCCTAGAATCCTGGAGACTGTATGTCTAAAGTGAGAGTAAATAAAGATTAGGGGAGTAAATAAAGCTGACTGTTATCTAGTAGGGGACGTGCAAGCTTGCAAAGCATAAGGGACCAACCCGCTTAACGGGAGCAGCGCGCGGACACCACCTTTTGACCAACCATGGAGCTGTATGAAGCGCGTGGACTGTGTAATGAGAGCATAGAACAGTATGTAATCATGTAATAAAGGTCTTCGATTCACCCTCGATCAGAGTCCATGCATCAATCCGCTACACCCATCGTCTGGGGCTTGGGAACCTTGGGTAGCCAAGTGGCCAGTGCAAAGCTGGCCAGTGCAAGTCCAAGGAGCTGGCTGCAGCCCGGTCCCTGCAGCTCGCAGGCTGGGGTACCCAGGCACTGCGGATGCGAAGGAAAGGAGGGGGGGAGAGGGACATTGCCCTGTCCCATCCTGCCTCGCTACGCGGAGGGAGCAGGAGCTGCCTCCATCCCACCTGGACAGAGCTACGTGGGGTTTTGTACTTGCCGGAGCAGAGAGAGAAATTCTTCTGCAGATTTGGTAAAAACAATTTTTTTTTTAGTTCAATGGCTGGAATCGGGGAATTTGTGCAAGAAAGATGGGCTTAGCTTATACATGCTTAATGTATACGTGCTTAATGGTCTGAAGTTGTGCCAGGGCAGGTTTAGGCTAGACATTAGGAAAAATTTCTTCCCTGAAAGGGCTGTCAGGCACTGGAAGGGGCTGCCCAGGGAAGGGGTCGAGTCCCCATCCCTGGGGGGATTTAAAAGCTGGGCAGATGCGGTGCTGAGGGCCAGGGTTTGGGGGTGGGATGGCAGGGGTAGGGGAACGGTTGGGCTGGGGGAGCTTAAAGGGCTTTGCCAACCTAGATGATTCTATGCCCAAAAGCCTTTTGGTTTTACGCTGCTGCTTTTATCTTGACAGTCCCTGCTCAGCAAACTTCCCGCATCTTTGCAGCATCCCCGGGGTAAGTGCTGTGCCTTGACCCCCACGGCAGAGCCGACGGCAGCGGAGATGCTTGGGATGCGGGGTTTGCCACCAGAGATGGAGACGGAGACACGTCTGCTGTCAGACACGGGGGTCTCGTCTGCCACCCCCACCTTGCCCGGCCGTTCCCATCCTCACCGCCGCGGACACGCCGTGTGCGCCGCGAGGGGCATTTGCTGTCACGCAGAGCCGTGCCCGGTGGGAAGTGACTTGTCCACAGCTCCGTAGGAATAGCAGCGTGACGAGGGCTCAGCGCTCCCCTGCTCCTGTAAAGCCCTGGCAAAGGGCGAGGGAGGCTCCGGCCCCCGGGGCCACCAGCCCATGCGGGATGGGTTGCGCTCCCTGTGGGGCATGGAGGTGGAAAACCAACCCCTCCAGAGACCTGAGCTCAGGTTGGGCACTGATTTCTCCTCTGTTTCCCAGGGAAGCAGGAGCTGGAAGCCTTAGATTACTTTAAAGTGAGGAATGGGTATAACAAGGTGAGCAGCCCTCCAGAAACCCATTTCGGCAGAAATTTTATGTCATGCTCCTACCTCAGAATTAATTTTCATTGTTTCCTCGGTGTGGTAGAGCAGAAGCTTCTGGCCAGAAGAGGTGAGATTAACGTACACCTGGAGGCAGGGGTACTGAGAGATTTTCCAGCAATCTGGGCCGCAGCTAAATGAGCAGTTGAAGGTTTCTGTGATGGATGCATTGAGAAGCGAGCACTGAGCCTCTTCCGTCCAGACACTAAGGGGGAAAAAAAGAGACGTTAGAGCACGGTGAGAATGGGCAAGAAGCACTGAGCACAGCTCGGGCTTTCCATCGGGGCATGCCGGGGGGCATCTTCTAGGGGGTGGCACGTGCTGCGGAGCTCCGGGCAAAGGCTGGGCTTTCGCAGGTCACGCATCGCAGCCGGAGCGTTTCACTCTGCCGTGCCTGAAGTTTGGGCTTCGGGCACAAAAATACCCGATTCACTTATGTCTGAGTCTAAATGAAAAGGGAACGGGTGCTTTTGGTCTGGAGAAGGTGTCTTTGAAACCAAAGGGGGTCAGCAGAGATGTCGGAGAAGCCTGCCCTGGGAAGAGCACGATGCACACAGCGCTGCGTGCCGGGACACCCCGGACCAAGACTTGATGGTTAACCACCAAGTCCAGTTCAATTTAAAGTGAAGGCCAGGAGGGCAACTTTGAATGACCAGGGCCCATATATCCATATACACGAAGAGGCAGCAACGCCCAGGTGGCACCGCACGCAGCTCCACCTGGGGAAAGGCTTTTGCTAGGGGCAGCTTGCTCGGTTTTCCGTAAATTAAACCAGCTGATGTGACCGTTCTGGAGGATTTCAGCTTATCTCCAGTTCACCAGAGGCTAAAACTGGAAGGATGGAGCCTGGCTGTGCACTGGCAACGTTCACTTGGGTTTCCTGCATGCATTTAAAACCCTACGGCCGTACTTTCCTTAGGGATGAGAGCAGTGGGAAGGGCACGCTGTGGGCTCGGGGAAAGGGTTCACCCCCAGGCCCCCCTTCAGCCCCTCAGCTCGCCCCCACCAAGGGGCTGCGCCTCTGCCCGCCCCGCGCCAAACTGCAAAAGCCTTTGTGCGGCAAGCGATATCAAAGATTTCCGACTAATTCTCTTGGTATTTTACTTTGGCAGTAATTCTGCTTGCATATTCCATCTTACATTAATATTAAATTATGCTATGATTTTTTTTTGGGGGTGGGGGGGGCGGAATCAAGCGAAAGGATTATTTTTTTTCCCCTCCCAGGCAGTTGGCTGTCGGAGGGGAATTGCTGCCTGTGAAGGAGAGTGACCCCCCAAGGAGACTGGGCTGTGCGAAGAGAAGTGACAGCGAAGGCTCCCAGCTCGGCTTCTCCTCGCTCTCACCTTCCTGAACGCTGTTTTACCCGTGCGCAGGGGTAATAAGGTAACACCTACCGACAACAGGCTGCTGAAGATGGCGTGTTTGAGACTTTGCAGGTGTTTTGAGATCTGTTGGCAATTTTTCACACAGTTTGTAATATAAATCATCTCTCCACATGAGCAATTCTGACCTTCGCAGCCTCTGCAACTGACCCTGCTATTGCCGAAAGGTCTGGGAGAGCAACTGGGAAAAGCAAGTGCTCTTGGATACTTAACAGGTCTTGCTCTCTGTTTTCAAAATCTAAGCTTTGCCTGGATCTAGAGAGGGACAAACACCTTTACCGCACAAATGAGGTGCTGCAAATCAGTGCATTTCACCCTCAGGCATGGCTATTTTCCCTTACTGGTGCAGGGTGGAGAAGGAACATCTTGCTGGAACATGTCCAGAGGAGAGCAACCAAGTCTTTAGTCTGGAGCAGAGGAGGCTGAGGGGAGACCTGATCGCCCCCTACAACTGCCTGAGAGGAGGCTGTAGGGAGGGGGGGTCGGCCTCTGCTCCCTGGGAACAGGCGATGGGACGAGGGGGAATGGTCTGAAGTTGCACCAGGGCAGGTTTAGGCTAGACATTAGGAAAAACTTCTTCCCCGAAAGGGCTGTCAGGCTCTGGAATGGGCTGCCCAGGGAGGTGGTCGAGTCCCCATCCCTGGAGGGATTTAAAAGAAGGATGGATGAGGTGCTGAGGGAGAGGGGTTAGTGGTGGGATGGCAGGGTGAGGTTAAAGGTCGGACTTGATGATCTCAAAGGGCTTTTCCAACCAAAGTGATTCTATGATTCTTGCGGGTACCCCAGTGTAACTGAGGACTGTTCAGAGCAGGGAGCGGTAGGCGCCTGCTGTAGGTGCCCAGAGAAGCCTGTGGTGGCTCAGCCAAACCATGCCAGGTATTGCCCACTGCCTCGGGGTGGTTTGGGGCATGACAGACCAATGTTTTGATCCCCAGTTTCGCATTTTTCGTTCTCCTAAGTCCACCGATCGGGGCAGAAAAAATATTGTTGACAGTCTTATTACAGTCTGGGCTGGATTTTAAATAGGGCTGGTGCTTGAAAACTGGTTTCCAATGCTGCTGATGAATCACAGGCCAGACTTTCTACTCTGTGGTGGTGAAGGAAGCCGGAGGAGGCCTCCGAAAAATTAAGTGCAGTGCAGTAACGATGAAAGATGATCTTTCACTTTCAGAAAATTACTATATTTCAGGAGGATTTCACTTGTTAAAATGAAATAATAACCTACATGGAGAACTACATGCTGCAAAGCAGCTTGATTTCTTTCCCAAATTAATTCTCCATTCTTCATTTGGGAGTGAGTTGTTGCTCGAGGCTGCTGAATATTTTTGCTGGTTTCTCCTGACTTTGACTGGGCTTTGCAGGAACGGCCCCTGAGGGGCTTACAGCATCCAGCAGGCTGCCCGCCCGCCGGTACAGACATTATACTGGTGTTAAACCGTGGCGAGCCTAAAGCCTATGGATCAAGATTTTGTCAAACAGGGATCTAATTCTTCCCTCACTTGTGCCGGTATTGCTCGACTTGCTTTCGCTGTAGCTCTGCCTAATTTACATTGGGGTAAGGAAGTGGAGAATTAGGTCTATGTCGACCAAAGGAAAAATTAGAAAACTTTAATAAAATGAGTCAAAAGAATAAGCCATGAGAAGTCAGCTGGAGCAGAGAGATCAGAGTAACCACCACAAAATTACCTTTGCATGTAAGACCGCAGCAGGGTGATTCCCAGGAGAAAGTACATCATGATAGAGCACACCATCATGGCCAGCCCGAGGAGTATGGCCCGGTCTTCTCCGGCTTTTAGGGCTGTGACTGTTTTCCTTTTGTCCAGTAGGTCGTGATCCCTGATTTTTTGGTAAATATTTCTGAGGTTGAAAATAATACATTTTTATGTGAAGTTCATATTTAAGCAATGAACCCTCTACAGGGTGGGTGCTTCCACCTCCATACCCATCTCGTGAGAGAGAAAGGCTCAAGGGTCCTCACGTGTCCTTTTTCATCGGATTCACTTGGACCTGGTGGAAACTTATTCAACTCCAAAATAAATTACAGCCATTTCTGAAAAGGTAAAAACCTCTTATAGCAGATATAAAGATTAGACACTTGTGCCAGCTCAGTTAATCCTTCCTTGGTACCGCTTTGTTGGCTCAGTTGAATTACACCGTAAGTGAATTTGACCTCTCAATGCCAGCTTAGGCCACCGGACGTTGTTTAGGTAGATGAGGTGTCTTTTCTTCAGCTGAATATGGTAACAGGTCTGATGTTACCATACGTAGAAAACAGCCTGAAGAAAGTCATCATGGAATTATCCGGAAGGACCACGTTATTTTTTGATTCCCTACAGGCTAGAGGTTTGGGTAATTTTCTACCCTGAGTGTCACTCAAAGCTCATGAAACACTATGGGGATTTTGCAATTGATTTCTGTGGGTTTTTTGATTGGGACCTTATTTACTTCATTTATAAAATAGCTTTCTGGAAGCCCAGTTACTCATTACAATGAAAAACCCTCGCAGAAAATTATCCACCAAAGCTATTTGTTCGGGGATTAAAAAATAAAAGAGGATACAACAAACCATTCCCCCTTCAGCAGAGAGACCTCTGCATTTCCTAACCATAAGTCCTCCTTTCATCTCTGAGCCTTTGATGATTCAATGGGTCATGAGGACACAATGGTGAAGAAGGAAAATATTTGAGTACATTTCAAACACACTCAAACTTTGTGGGTTTAAAATGTACTTACAGACCTGAGGCTGGTCAAAATCTCCTGTGTTTTCTGTTACGGTTCTTTTGAATCATCCAGGTGGCACCCGAAGCATGTGAACCGCACGCCTCTGAGCCCTGGCACCACCGTAACATGGACATGGTGGCACACGTGGAAGAAGTTCCTCTTCTACTGTCTGCAAAACGGCAGGTGAGCAACATCAACATCACTCTGGGCTCTACCAAACCCACCGCTCCTTTAAGCTGAAACCACCACCACGTTCCCCTCAAGCTTGGCAAAAAGCACTGTGCGTCAGAGCAGCATCCAGCTTACATCCACCGATGGGGGCAAAGGAACAGGGTTAAGACAGAGGTAAAACCGGACATCAACAGAGTAGAAACAAGGAAATGGGTTTAATCATAAAATTCCCTGAAACTGGAATTGAATTCCTATTTAGATGATGAGTCACAGCCAGGAAAAGCACAATCGGTGGGGGGGTTTTGTAGCAAATGTTTTGCTCAGCTGCAGTCTATAGTCTCCCATACCTAGGACCCCTTGAGGTTTCTTCATCCAACTGTAATTTACATCTTTAGATGTCCATGGTTTCTCTTCAAAACCATCCTTTAAAGCTTGTCAGTGTTTTCCTAGTTGGAAATGAAATGGTAATTCAGCCTGTCAAATTTTTCTCTGGCGTTGGGGAGAAAAAAAAATACATTGTAAGATGGCAGATGCAATTGCCTTCAAAGAAGTAATGCAGAGTAATAGTCTAATATTACTTTTCTATTATTATTTATCAAACTGTATTTAACTCTGAGAGCTGCTATTGCGATTTGCGTTGCTCCCAAATGGAAGCAGGCAGGGAGGCAGAGATTGTCAGCAGTTCCAGCACATTAACTGGCCACACAGCATAACTTATGTCAGCGCGTAGCCATAAACCAGAGACGGTGCAATCGCTCACTGATGTCACCAGAGCAGCTAGGACATAAAAGGGATACAAATGGACAATTTAAAAACAAATAGCTAATTGAGAATGGTTACAAACGCTTCCCCTGCGGCCTTGAGCCAGGAAACGTGCAGTGAGAGGTAAAAAAGGATGGATGGGAGGGTGTGTTGGAGCCATGATCTATCTGGCGGGCGACTGGCAAGGGGACGGTGTGCGGTGACCGCCTGCCAGGCGCATCTCCCGCGCTCGCCTGCCATGGTAAATAAAGTTAAACAAAGCTCTGCCTGGGGGGGGGGTCACGCTCGGAGCAGTTCAGTCGCTCTTTTGCAAATATCTGTTATTCTAAGTCCCGAACAACAGGAAAGTGGCAGCCTGGTGCACCTTACCGAGGGCTTTTTGCTCCTGAATCCCTGCCAGGAGCCAGCCCGGTAGCAGCGCCAAGGCGCGTGGTGGCGTGGCACGTGCCGGCGCCTGATGCGCCGGTCCTGACACGCTGAGTAACCCTTCCTCCTCCTCCTCTTCCTCCTCCTCCTCCCCGCTCGTGCCTGCACCAGGGGGGCACCGGTTTGCTCTGTCCGAGACTGGGAACATCTGCTATTACCAAACTTCACCTTCCTCCTCCTCCTCCTCCTCCTCCTCCCCGCTCGTGCCTGCGCCAGGGGGGCACCGGTTTGCTCTGTCCGAGACTGGGAACATCTGCTATTACCAAACTTCACGTTTTTGCCCCAAGAGCTCCGGTTTTGGGGGACGGATACGTTGTGCAGAATACTTTGCTATTAACAGAGCATCTCCTTAGCGGCAGCGGTGGCCTGCGCACATGTGCGTGCTGCTCCGTGGCGGGGGGGTTGTGTACGTGTGAACTTTTGGCACAGCCCAGGGACCTCTTTCTGCTCAGTGAGCTGGAAGAGCACTGTGCTTCGTCGGCTGATTTTGGATCCCAGGGCTGCAGAGCCACAATTAGCTGACTGCCGCGGTGTGTTTAAGTACAGGTCACTGCATGCCAGACACTACTCATCTAGGTGACCCCACCTAATGCTCATGATTACCTGTGATAACTCCCCGCATATGACACTGAGGGGGGCTGTTTTTGTTCTTAAAGAAGTCCCAGCTGTCAGAAAATGAGGTCTCTCTGCCCTGTGCAAAGGCATTTAATAGAAAGCAAGCCTCCAAGGACAAAAGGTCTTTGCTCTCCTGATCATTTCCAAACTGCAGTGCTCCCCTGCTAAATCTCCGCGATCCTTTTGCCAAAGTGCTCAGAGGAGCCGGGCTGGCTGCTCTACCCGGGATCGGCTGCCAGAGAGGAAATCTCAACCGTGACGGTGCCTGCTGGGGACAGAGCGGAGATTTCCCTCTCCCTATCTCTGCACAGCAGCAGTGCGGGGATCCCTCTGCAACGTGGTCGGCAGCTCCTTGCGCGATCTCCGGAGGAAGGCTTAGGGAGGACCTGTACGATGAAATTAGGCAGCCCGGGTCGCATTAGCCTGCACACGAGACAGTCAAGGAGAGTTAAAGTGCCAGTTTAAGCCTATTGGCCTTAATAAGAAATTCTCCACCTTCTGTAGAGTTACTCATATTTGCTGCAGCCAAGACCTTTCTTTGCCGTCACGCAAGACGCGTTGTGTGAAGGACGGGGCATGCCACGTGCATCCTCCATGCTCTGCTGGTGCGGGACTGCTCCGCAGCTCCGGGGAGATGATGAACTTACTGGCATGCATTAGGAATGGCCCAGTACGCCAAGGGCTTGCAACTGGGCACTGCCACATAGGGCAGAAGAAGCTAAAGTAATGCTGCTTCTGAGCCAGTACAACAGGTCTGGTTTTGCTCCGAAATGGGTGGATCTAAGAGCACGGGGAAGGGGGTCTACTTCCCTCCCTGGAAATCTGCAATTGCTTAATTTAAAAAAAAAAAA